CATGGTAACACCAAAGGTGTGGTTGATGACAGCCTTCTGCACCGGGTCCATCTGAGTGAGACACACAGAGGTCAGAGGTCACGAGCTTGTTTCAACCCGAGTACTGATGACACCATGAAAGATTTTTTTGTTCAATCTATTTGACCTGCAGCTATGACACACGCTCACCTGTTGCTACCACACACCTACCGTGTTGAAGTTTGGGAAAAGTCCAACTGGTGACGTTGTCTCAACAGGAAACGGCAGAAAGGGTTTCATCATGACTGAGGGACCAGTGGCACCTATGAGACCTGGCAACGCTCCGCCCACTGCACCACTCCCACTTCCTGGGAACAGACACGGAGTTTAAATAATTGATTTCTAATACCTTTGTTTTCACACACTTCAAACAAACAGCAACAACACAAAGGTTTGCAGGGCAGAGTTTCTGCTTTAAGGATGAAGCTGAAACTTATATTGACCCAAATTTCACTTCACAGAGTTGCTACCGTCACAACACAATGCGAAAATAAGGATATACTTATATTTTTCCATACTGAAAACATCTAGAAATTAATCCAGAAAAAAACCCTGGTTGACTCGTATTCACGCTACATAAAACGGGTGAGCCATTTTATGATGTTATGGATTTAGTTTGGTCCCTTTTGGCTAAAAATATTGGCCAATATTGAGTTTTAATAATGATTCCTCAGCTGTTTTGTCATTAGTCTGTTGACACTTTATGAAGGTGAAATTAAATTACATTTATTAATACATTTAAGAACTTTTATCCAAAAATTTGTTGAATAATGATTTCATAAATAGCCTTTTGTCAAATTAACCATCTGTAAGGATCAGGAAATATATCTAAAGCTGTGCCTGTTAAAGAGAAAGACACACTTCTTGGCATATTCTCTGAAGAGCAAACAAAGGGAGCCCATCTTTGATATCTCTGGAGTTACGACCTGGAAACCTGAGCAGCAGATCTGCTTAACAGTACCTAACATATGGATACAGAACATATGGAGCTGCAGCTGCTCAGGGCAGAGAGAGGCAATAATACAGAAAGACAAAGCGAAGAGAGGGCGAACAATTGGCTCACATAATGAGTCCACGTGTCCAGCTGCCACTCGGCCAGAAAGACGTGTAAACTTTCAAAAGGCAGGAAGTACACTAACCGAGCTCACGCAGAATCCAAGCTGACCACATCACACTATACACAACTGTTACAAAACATTTCTTCAACAAACAAAACTTGAGTACTCTAAATCTGCCATGAATTATTAGCAGTGGATTATTTGGAGGGCGGTTACATGTGAGCAATTTTAGGAAAACAGTTGAAGATGTTTGAATCCACCTGCTGCTGCTAGTTCATGCTAGTTACCTGATGCAAGCATATTATTCTGTGTATGTTTAAAGTTACAGCATGTCAAAGCCCTGCAGTGAAATCTTTTGTAACAACAGTGTGTGGGTGGAAACACTGATGCCATCTGAATCAGGCCTGATGAAGGAGGGGGAGGCGGTGGAAGAAGAGGAGTAGGAGGAGGTTTCTGGTCATGCTGGTTTAGTGCATATGTCCAGTGTAATGTAATGAAGGTAAACCTGATTATATCCCATTTTAAATAACAGTCTGGCCAACTCTTTATGACTTCTAATGCATCCATGTGAGTACTATAACCCATTTACATCCACTCTACATGAACTCTAATTGTACCATTATAAAAGATTAGAAATAAAATATAGAAATACAACTCTACTTTAAGACCTATTATAATCTATTCTGATGAGCTGTAACTGACTGTGATCCACAACACATTAAACCAGTCACAATGTATTAATCTTATTCAGAACAAACCAACAAAAAATTCACTATAGCTCCACCCAGACTTTAAATACTGTGTGTGTGTGTGTGTGTGTGTGTGTGTGTGTGTGTGTGTGTGTGTGTGTGTGT